AAGAAGAAGAAGAAGAAGAAGAAGAAGAAGAAGAAGAAGAAGAAGAAGAAGAAGAAGAAGAAGAAGAAGAAGAAAAGGAGAAATAAGAGAAGAGAGGAGGGGAATTATTTAGTTGAGACAGATATTCCTACTCCTAGTCCTTCAGGTTATCTTCTGGGCGAGGACAGACACACTCAGAAGCCTGAGCAATTAGGGTGTTGGTAACACACCCTATAGCCTGAGAACACAGAGATGATAATCATGTATCGTGCAAAATCCAGTCAAACGAAGTGGGCAAAGAGTGTCCCTTTGGTGATTAGATTTTATCTGTTGTTGCTGAGACCTGGTCTGGCAATGTGGCACAGCCGGCCTTGAACATGAGGTGATCCTCTTGCCTTAGGCATACACCAGGACACCTAGTTGGATTCTGTCATGTAATTTTTTGGCAGCTACAGATATAATAATTGAATTTTCTTTTATAGTCTGCTGATAGGATGTTTTACATTAATTGATATTTAAATATTGAATGAGCCTTCCATACCTGGCATAAATCTTGGGCAAGTTCATCTCTTTTTGTTCTCACCTGGGTTTTACCCGTTTCACGGGGACATGCCTCCTTTTCCCTTAATGCTTTTTAAAAAAATTTTAGTATGAGTACAGTGTCTACAGTCTCACTATGTAGATTGGACTTGTAGTGATTCTCCTGTTTTCAGCCTCCTAAGTGCTGGGATTACAGGCGTGCGTCACCATGCCCAGTCTCACCTGCCATCTCAGTGCACCCTGGGGGCAGGCGGGGCTGGCATTGCCTGCTGGGGATCAAACCCCAGTCCCTGCACTCTGCCCAAGCAGGCGCTTTAGTCCACTGAGCTAACTGGGTGGCACTTCCCTTAATACCTTTAAAGCTGACCTTTGAAGACAAATATATATCCAATAGCTTTCTTATTTCAAAAATGTAAATATGATCATACTCCAGAGATGTCTCTGCAACTTGCTTTTGCTCACTTAATGTCACAAGGGCCTTTCTTTGTCAGTATCTATGGCACTGCCTATGTCTTTATCATCAGCCTATACTTTTCCATGATGTGGAGCCACCAAAGTTGCATGATGGTCACTTACAATGCTGTTTTTTACATCTTTATGCCATCTTTAACCTTTTACATATACTAATTATGATGATTTCTTCAACTTGTAGGGTTTTTTGGATTACATTTGGGAAGGTATTTTTCTACCTAACATTATGTGGTTTTTTTATCAACTTTATTGAAAATCAGTAATTATATATATATTAAAAATTGTAGACAAATATATTGAAATGTGAAATATATGAGATGTAGAAGAGTGATTTTTAGAGAAATATTTCTGAAATGAATACATTGCATGAATTAATAGATTGCACATTGTAAATGAATTATTTACAAACTTAAATGAATATAACAATAAAAATTGTCCAAAATAAAAATGAAGAAGAAAGAAATCACAGATCAGTCATATCATAGTTCACTCTGTGTCAAAATCAAGAAACTTATATTCATACAATTAGAATTCTCAAAGTAGAAAGAAGTAGGCAATAAATATTTAAAGATTTAAAATTTCTGAATTTAGTTCAACTTATAACACCACATTTCCAAGAAAAAAGAACTTTTGCACAAGAAATTTGAATAAAATCATACCAAGATACACAAAAATGAAATTGTCCAAAACTCATTGCAAAGAAAAAAATCATTAAAGCACATACATAAAAAAGAGAGGGAAGAAGTAATATAAAGTCAATGGAAAATGGAGGTATACTTTTTAAAGTTTCTAATACTAGGAGAAAATATCATATCATGTCTTTTAAATAAATTGTGAGTCAAAGATATAGTATAAATCTTAAAACAAAAATTAAGATTAAGCAATATTCAGAAAATTAAATACTAGTTAAAAATTAAATGTTTCAAAACAATTGAACTAAGAAAAAGTTTTCATGATAGTAAGGAAGTACTAAGAATAAAACATAAGATAAATACTGGAATGGCAAATAAATGACCAGCACTTCTAACAGTTCAGGGATAGGATATTGCACAAAGTTCTAGTGTGTTGTGGAGATGGTAATGTCCATGACACTTACTGGTGGCCAGGTATCACTTGTGGGACTAAGCTACTGCTATTTCCTTGAAATCCACCCTGTAGACCCAGATGGAATCATGACCCATAGGGTGCAGGAGAAGTCCATTTGTAGAGTGTGCTGATAGAAATATTTTGCTGCTGTACACAGCAGAAATATTTTGCTGCTGTACATAACTGAAAGACTACTATTGTATACCTCTTATTCTCCTGTGTTTAATTGTTTGCCCTATTTGGTGGGTTCTCTCCATTCTCATTCATGGAGTTGTGGTCATTGTGCTCCCTCTCTAGAACATCATTTAGTAGTCTGTGTAGGCTTGGCTTTGTAATCATGAAATTCTTAAGTTGTTCTTTGTCATGGAAGTATTTCACTTCTCCCTTATACTTGAAAGAGAGTTTTTCAGGGTATATCAGTCTGGGTTGGAATTTGTTTTCTTGCAAGACTTATATTACTTTGCTCCATGCTCTTCTTGAGTTGATGGTTTGTGAAGAAAATCTGCCATTATTCTGATGGGTTTTCCCTTAAATGTCATCTGTTTCTTTTCTTTAATGGCTTTTAGTATGCTGTTCCTGTGCTGAATTTCTGGGATCTTGATTA